CCTATAATAAATTCCTTAATCTGAAGTCAGATTTGAATTGACTGAACAACTAGTAAATATTTATTTAGTATTTACTATGTACCAGGTATTGGGAATACAAAATTGAACCATAGCAACCAATGTTTCTATCTTCATGGAACTTACATTTTAGTGACAGGAAGCATATAATAAACGAATAAAAGATATGACACTTATGATTGTGGTAAGGGCTATGGTAAGAAATAAAGGAGGATTAGGGGAATAGGGACTATTGAGGGAGGAGAAGGAGTTTGCAGTTTTAAATAAGGTGGTGACAAGGTCCACACAGTGAATGTAGTATCTGAGGAGAGACTTGGAGGTAATGAGCAATATGGAGGTCTGTGGAAAGAATGTTCTAGCTCGAGGAAACAGTAAGTGCCTGGAGGCAGGAAGGTACCTGACTTGTTTGAGGACCCTCAGTAGTTTTGATGAAGTAGAGTGAGGAGAGTAGTAGGAAGAAAAGAGATCAGAAAGGTTGGGGCAGAGGAGGGTGTTTGGGCAGAGCAGCTGTGTAGGATCTGATGGGATTTCAGTTTTTACTTAAGAGTGATGGGAAGTCTTTGGGGGGGGGTTTTGAGTAAAAGAGTGACGTAAGTCTACTTAAGAAGGTAATAATATCATTTTGGCGGCTGGATTAAGAACAAACTATAAGAGGGCAAGGACAGAAACAGACCAGTTAGGAGACTGTAATTCAGGGAAGAGTAGTGCAGATGGTAGGAAGTGGTTAGATTCTGGATATGTTAAGGTAAAGCTGTTAGGATGTGCTGACAGATTGGATGTGGGTTGTGGAATTGAGAGAATATTCCAAGGTGATTCCTAAGTTTTGGGGCTCAAGGAAGTGGAGGGATGGAGTTGCTGCTTTATAGATGTGACTGTGGGAGGAGCAAGTTCTGCAGGGAAAAATCAGAAATTGAGTTTTGGTATGTTCAAATGAGGTGTCTACTGGACATCCAAGAGATGGAGATTAGTGGGCAATTTGATACATGAGTGCAAGGGAGAGGTCTGGGCTGGACATAAAAATTTGGAAGTCATCAACGTATTGATGATATGTAAAGCCATAAAGCTGATGATGGATGGACAGAGAAAGTAGAGGAGATCTGAAGAGTGAGCTGCCTGGGTATTGAACACCAGCATTCAGAGGTTGGGAAATGAGAAGGAATGGCCAGTGGTGTAGGAGGAAAACCAGAGGAGTGTGATACCGTGGAAACCACGTGAAGAAAGGGGTGGAAAGAAGATGGTGGGGTCAGCCATGTCAAAGCTTGCTGATAAGCCAAGTAAGAAGAGGACTCAGACCTCCCACTGGACTTAGCAGCATGTGGGTCATTGGTGACTTTGTCACGAGCAGTTTCTGTGAGTGTAAATGCTTGTTTGGATTGAGAATGGGAGGAATCAAAGAGTGAATTGAGACAACTCCTTTTGAGGGGAGAGGTGGTATACAGGAGAGCAGAGAGATGGGGCACTACTTGGAGAGTGATGTGCGGCTCAGGGAGTTTTTTTCTTTTTGAGACATAACAATGTATGCTGATGAGAATGATACAGTAAAAGGGGAAATTGGTAACGTCTGGGAAAGGGGAGAATTGCTGGAACAGTATCTTTGAATAGGTGAGATGGGCTAGGATTTGATACACAAGTGGCTTTAGATGGTAGCATGAGGCAGTTTATCCATGGAAATAGGAGAGAAGGCCCAGTGCATGGCTGCAAGTGTTTGCTGGGTTGGTAGACATGGCAGGAGACTAAGTTCTCTTAATGTTTCAGTTTTCTCAGTGAAATAGGAAGCAAGGTCATCAGATGAGAATGTGGATGGAAAGGAGGTAATAAGAGTTTTGAGTAGGTATGAAATAGAAAGCTAAGAAAGTGTAAGCTAGAACGGGCTTTGTACGTGTCATAAGAGTTCCGCTTTCACTAAGGGCCTCATGAATGTGGTGGTCATGAATTTGTAGTGAGATTAGTTGTTATGGTTATATGCTTTTCAGCTGCATGTGGGTAGACCTGAAGTTGATGAAGAATTGATTTAACCACACAGCAGTGTTTTTGTCATGTGTATACGCAGGAGAGAGTGGTGTGAGAGTTGAGGAAGTAATTGTGATGTGCCACAGAGTCCATCTCAGAGTCTGTGGCCAGGATGTTAAAAGGGAGAGATAGGGACCAGTTGTACTTTTCTAAATTAGCTCACATTTATATAGTGTATGAAAGTCTTAGGAACCTAGGAAACTCAGCAATTACCTTCATGGTACTTACTAACTTACAATTAAGAAAATATTACCTACTTGGGACAAGACTTTCTGACATAAAAAAAATATACCTCCATGAGGCTTAGCAAAAGCCCTTCTGCTCTAGCTCATTTACTTGATAAAAGATATGTAGTATTATCTGCGCTCCCACCCCCAAAAGTGCCAGGTGATAGACTTTATCAGAAGATCCATTTTTAATCAATAGTTGATGATTTTTAAGGTTTTTCAAGGGATTTATAAGCAATCGTACACTGAAAAATGTAGAAAAAGTTATTGTGTCAAAATGGAACTTTAGCTTTTCCCTTTTATAAGTACAAATCATGTTATCCAAAGACTTCTGATGAAAATTCACATTACACATTAGTATTTAACCCTATTTGAATTTTTGAAATATTCACAATGTCACAAGCAGAGGAGAGAAAAAAAGTATGAATATAAAAACTTACATTTTCAATAAATACATTAAAGGGTGAAAGCTACCATGTCTGCACTACACACACACACACCCACACACACACTCTCACATTCCCACATTCTAGTATATATGTATATATGTACTATGTATACACTACACACACAGTAGCAGTGGTTTGACCTCAATGAGTAGCCTTAGGTCTAAGAAATATCTCCAATAGAAAAAGATACTTCTTTAAATTTTGAAGAATTAGTACTCTTGGTTCACTAGGGGTGATTTACTTGCCTGTTTGTTTATCCTCTTCTTTGCCCCAAAAGAGTTTAAGGTGGTAACAATCAAAACTCTTGAAGGACAAATGCATTAAATACCACTAATGCATAAAATGAAACACATGAAATAGAAGGGTTCATTTAATGGAATTATGGTGTTTAATGCAAATCATTTTTCAGTTAGAAGGTTAAATGTAAAGATTGATTATGATATGCTTCGAGAAAGTGATAATCCCTCTTTAGTTTATGGTATATTTATTGTATTTGCTTAAAGGTAATTATTTATGATATTTTATTCTCTCAGTGAAAAAGTCTTTCCAAAGAGTGTCTGGATATTATGGGTATATTTGTTTTCTGTTGGTTTTATAATGCTGGGTAAAACCAAACACAAAATCTTGGCAGCATATTCCTAAACATTTGTTTGGCACAGGAGTCTGGGATGCAGCTGATCCCTGCTGGGCTCACTCATGGACTGGTCAGCTACAGGTTAACCAGGCAGTTCTGATGATCCCAGGTGGGCTCATTCACTTGGGTTTGGATGGTGCTGGCTTACCTAAAGTGGGCTCAGCTGAAGATGACTAGGATCCCTCCCTCTGGTGCATGTGTGTCTACTCCTGCTAGGACCAGGGCTAGCCCACTAGAGGGCAATAGTTGGTGGCTGGTGATGGCAGAGAGCAAAGCAGAGTAAGTCCAACTGTGAATCACTTTCATCACATTTTTTTCATCATACCTTGCATCACATTTACTATCATCCTATTGGCCAAAACAAATCACATGACTGAGCCTGAGTCAGACTGACAGGGTACTGAGTATTGCAGTGTTACCTAGTGAAAGGTGAGCATACGTGGGAGGGTTGAAGAATTGGAGCTATTTAAGCAGTCTACCACAGTGGGACAGCAGTATAGAAATGAACAACCCCAATAGAAATACTCGAGTCAGAATAGAACCCCAAATTTTATTGCTGCTTTTGATTTGTTGTTGTTTATTTTAGTAGGTAAGCAAATTTTATATAAATGCAGCCTCCAGACTTGTAGTTTTGTAAAAGTAGCCTTCAGCCAGTGAAGTTTCTCCTTCACTATAATACATTCAAACCTTATTCTGGTGGTTTTTGACTACTTTTCTAGTTCAACTCACTTTAAATGGTTTTCCTGTTTGTTGAGGTATTAATTGAAACAGTGTCTATCACTGAACCTGGTGACATTTGGGAACATTATCTGCAAATTTTCTGTATTGGTGCATATTTCATACAAGGACAGAGTATATGAAAGGAACAAAGACAAACTATACAGAAGGGTCAACCCCACCATCTCTGCAGTATCATAGTATGTTTTAAAATATCACATGAATGTCAGAATTCATTCTTAAAATTGTGACCTCTTGTCTTTATTGACTTTGACTTATATGAAGTGTTATCATACAAAATTATTTTTGAACTGCTTTTTATACCACTCCAGAACATTTTGCTATGATATACAAAGGTTTTGGCTCATATTTTTCTGGGTTGAGTTATGATAATTCACAGAAATTTTATGTATACAGCTGGAAAATACCAAAATGAGGATCAGTTCTACAAGTAATGTTCTTTTGCGTGTCAAAACACTTTAAGGCAGCTGTCTCATAGCATTAGTTCATGTTCTTAGGTGAACAAGGCACATCAAATTGGTGACTTTCAATGTTTACCTCCAGTGGATGTTTTTAAGTTTTAGAAGATTGTAAGCACTTTTTTTTTTTGGTTTTGAGTTTTGTTGATTAAAAGTAGCCATTATAAGATATTTTTCTGGCAAGAAAAGACTTAACTATTTGATATAAATTGGATATACATTTGGTCATGAATGCAGCTTTAAAAGTAGGGGTAGGAGGAAAGTGGAGAAGACCATAATTTTTCACCGTTTTTTTCTCATTGTTAATTTTTACAACTGCTTTGGATTTACTTTATTTTTTTCTGCATTTTTTGTTTCTTTTTAGGGAGAAGTGATAGCACTGGATAAAATTTTCAACAAAGTAGAAAAAATAAGGCAGAATGCCTTATTGTTAGGGCTGAATTCCATCAGGGCCTTTTGCTTTGATGGAACAAAGGCGGTTAAACTTGATATGGTTGAGGACACAGAAGGTGAGTTAAATTTTGTTTTTATCATTTTTAATTGAGAAGTCATAATTGTATATATTTATAGGACACAGTGTGATGTTTTGTTACATGTACAATGTGGAATGATTAAAACAAGCTAACATATCCATCACCTTACTTACCACTTTTTGGGGTAAGACATTTGAAATTTACTCTTAGCAAGTTCGAAATATAAAATACATTAACTATAGTTTCCACTCTGTGCAATAGATACCACTCTGTGCAATAGATCTCAAAAACTTCTTTCTCCTAACAGAAGCTTTGTACCCTTTCAACAGCATCTTCCCCCTTCCATCCCACCTCCCCCAGCCTCTGGTAACCACCATTCTACTCTCTGTTTCTATGTGTTGAGCTTTTTTAGATTGCACATAGAAGGGAGAACGTGTGGTATTTGTCCCTTGGTGTCTGGCTTATTTCATTTAGCCTTATGTCCTCCGGGTTTATCTATTTTGTCATAAGTGACGGATTTCCTTTTTTTGTTTAAGACTGAATAATATTCCATTGTGTATCTATACTACATTTTCTTTATCCATCCATCTGCTGATGGACACTTAGATCGATTCCATGTCTTGGCTGTTGTGAATAATGCTGCAGTGAACATAGAAGTACAGATATCTCTTTGACATATTGATTGTATTTCCTTCGCCTATATACCCAGTAGGGGGATTGCTGGATCATATGATAGTTCTATTTTTAGTTTTTTGAGGAACCTCCATACCATTTTCCGTATTGGCTATACTAATTTACATTCCCAGTAACATAATGTAAGAATTAGCTTGTCTCAGAATCCTCACCAGCATTTGTTATTTTTTGGGTTTTTGATAATATTCATTTTAACTGGGGTGAGGTGATATCTCATTGTGGTTTTGATTTGCATTTTCCTGATGATTAGTGATGTTGAGCATTTTTTCATATACCCGTTGGCCATTTGTATGTCTTACTGGAAGAACTATCTCTGTGTTGCCTTTATTATTATTATTTTTTTAAGAGACAGAGTCTCACTCCGTCACCAAGGCAGTGGTGCAATCATAGTTACTTCAACCTTGAACCCTATGGGCTTAAACAGTCCTCCCACCTCAGCCTCCAGAGTAGCAAGGACTATAAGTGCACACCACCACACTTGGCTAAATGTTTTTATTATTGTAGAGATGGGATCTCAGTATGTTGCCCAGGCTAATCTTGAACTCCTGGCCTCAAGCAATCAGTCCATCTTGCCCTCCCAAAGCACTGGGATTACAGGCGTGAGCCACTGTGCCTGGCCTTTTTCACCTTTTTTTTTTAAAAGATAGTTTTGCTGAATATAAAAGTCTTGGTAGACAATGTTGTTTTTTTTCCCTTTCTGTACTATGAGTATGTCATCTTACTATCATTTGACCTCCATTATCCTGATGAGCAGTCAGCTGTTAATCTTACTGCAGTTTCCTAGCACATGGCAAGTTGTTTTTCTGTTGCTGCCCTTAAGATTTTCTCTTTGCCTTTCAACATTTTTATGATGATGTGCCTGGTTGTAGATCTTTTTGCATTTGTCCAACTTGGAGTTAGTTGACCTTTTTGGATGTGTAGATTAATGTTTTTCATCAAATGTGGGAAGTCTTCAGCCATAATTTTTTGAATATTTTTCTCCTCTTCTTCTCTCCTTTTGGCACTAATATTGTGCCTAAGTTGGTGCTTTTAATGGTGTCATACATTTTTCTGAGGTCTGTGTTCATTTTAGTAATACTTCATTCTTTTTTCTCTCTGACTTTGAGATTGCATAATCTGTATTCATCTGTCTTCAAGCACACTCATTTTTTTTTCTGTCAGCTTAACTCTGGTTGAACCCCTCTAGTGGATTTTTTATTTAAGTTATTGAACTTTTTTAACTCTGTAATATTAATATTATTAATATTTAATAAAATCTCCCTATTGATATTCTGTTTGATGAGACATTGTCACCATATCTTCCTTTACTCCTTTAAGCATGGTTTCCTTTATTTTAATTCTTTGAACATATTTTTAATGGCTGCTTTAAAGTCTTTGCGAAGTTTGGCAGGTAAACCTTTTAAAAAATAGTTCCTTTTCACTGCTTTTCCCCCCTATATATGGGTCATACTTTCTTTGCATATTTCTTTTTTGTTTAAACCTGGACACTTCAGATAAATTTGAACAATTCTGGATACTAATCTACCTCCTCCCTTGGCTTGTTATTGTTGGTTTATTTGTTTAGTGTGATGGCTGGACTATTTTAATAAAAGTCTATTTCTTCGTGTGCATCTGTTGGTGTAACTCCTCAGCAGCCTACAGAATGTACATGGCAATCTTGGGATGCCATTGGTTTTAGCAGGGCTCTCTTTCTCTTTCCTTGATCATTGTGGTAAACTATATGCTTCAGTTGGTACTACAACAAGTTGTTAGCCTCTACTAATTGCAGATTGATTGCTCTATTCATTTCAACCAGGTCCTGGGACATAAATTGCTCCATTATCTGATCCAATAAATTTGAGACTCTTTGCATGAGTTATCTTTAAGACTGGTCTTTCCATGCCTGTAATCCTAGCACTCCGGGAGGCCGAGGTGGGCAGATCGTTTGAGCTCAGGAGTTCGAGACCAGCCTGAGCAAGAGCGAGACCCCGTCTCTACTAAAAATAGAAAGAAATTAGCTGGACAACTAAAAATATGTAGAAAAAATTAGCCGGGCATGGTGGCACATGCCTGTAGTCCCAGCTACTGGGGAGGCTGAGGCAGAAGGATCACTTGAGCCCAGGAGTTTGAGGTTGCTGTGAGCTAGGCTGATGCCACAGCACTCTAGCCCAGGCACCAGAGCGAGACTCTGTCTCAAAAAAAAAAAAAAAAAAGACTGGTCTTTGAGGTTCGTTCCCTCCCCAGTAAGCTGCTTCTTACTGTCTCATTCCTTGATTCTCTGATAAACTTTTGTCTGGTCTGTGGTTTAGTTTCTTGCCTTTGTGGAGCTACCAGTATCCTCCTAATTGCTTATCTCTGGGATCACTGTTATTTTCAGGAGTGCCTTGAGGTTTAAACTTCCCACTTTTGTTCTAAATAAAGTCAGTTCACTTGGGGAGATTTTCAGAATTCTGTACTTCCTTTCTGCCTCTTCCCTTGGACAGAACCTCTGGGCCACTGCTCCAGAGAGGAGCACAAGGAGAGTGGCCCGTTTCTCTTGGAGTGACACTCTGGCTGCTGGGTTGGGGTGGCAGCCTCTGATCTTTTTGGCTTGCCTCTCCTAAAGTGGAACCTCTTCACTAAGAGCTGGGGCGATGGCAATCAATCTTTGGTACTCTCAGCCTACTGTGCCTGGGGTAGAGCTTCATACCTGTGAGGGCTACTCTTACAGGGTGGGAAACCCCCAGAGTTTTCAGCTGCTCTTTCATGGAATCATAGCCTGTGCACTGTGGAGCTGGGGCAGATACAGCATTCCTTGCATTCCTTAACTAGGAGCTTAGGGAGAAAAGGGAGGTACATGTTCTTGTCTCCACCCACATGAAATGGATCTTTCATTCTGTGCTTCAGGGAGGGAGCAGGCAGTTGGGGAAAAGGGAAAAAGGAGTGGGTTGTGGCTCAGATGCTACAGATTCTCACTGGTCTTACTGAGATGTAGTAGATTTTCCTGAATAAATCTTTCTTCTTTTGCTATATGTCCTTAGGACATTTTCTGGAGACTTTAAATGGTTGTTTTTGGTTTTCTGGGGGGAGAGGGTCTACAGAACTCCTAATGCTCTTATTCCAGAAGCTTCCTCAATCTCACTGATTTTTAACATAAAATTGCTACTAAATTATATACCACTCCAAAGTAATGCAGTTTTGGAGATCCCTAAAGACAATTACAAGATTATATATTATGTGAAAGAGCTTTTTATAAATAAAAACATAGGTATTCTTACACTACTTAGCATTTATCCCCTGCCTTTTTGATTTTGAATAAAAGAAATTTCACTTGCACCAAGTAAATTTGAGGGTCATATTGGTAATCTTGGTCTGTTCTGAGAAAGGTCTGGAATACTTTTAGGAATTTCTTAATTGAATGTCTACATAATCATCATCCAGTATCTTCCATGAAAGGTAGCGCTTATTAGAAATGGTGAGGCATTGCCACTACCCTTAACAGGGCCACTGTGTGGAAGGACGTCTGGCTGAGGGTATATGCAGCTCATGGTTTGTTGTTTATGGTGCAAGACTCTGTTATTGTGGAGCTTGGGCACCTTATTTTGCTACACACAAAGGTACATTGTACGTTGTATGCTTGCAGATGTGCTGGCCTTAAAAAAATTGTTGAGAGCTGTTTTTAGAGGAATTTATGTGGCCTCAGGATTAAAAGAAAACTCTATAAGGTATTAGAGAGGATTTAGTTTAAATTTATACTAAAGAGAGATTATTTAGTATGAATACACAATATAAGGAGCTAGTTGAATAGATGTTGGAGAGCCCTGGGGCACCCTGGAGTTGATAAGTGCAGGCAGCAGTCTCTTCCCCTGTTGTAGGAGAAATGTAGAGGGGACTGTCTAGCTGCTACTTGTTTCATGGCACTCAGGAGGGCACCTCCTGGAGCTGGGACTTAGACCTCTGAAAGGAGGGGGCTTTGTGTACTCCATACTGATATTTAAGGAAAAAGGCTGGAAACTGCTGATGCCAATGTAAAGGGCTGTTGCTGGGATGGTTTTGACAGGAACAGCAAGTAAACAGGAAGGACAAAGTCTATTCTCTTTGCTGCTTGTCTCCTGTCTTCCTACCCCATCACTCCTGTCTCCCTGCCCCATGACTCCTATGCCTACTATTGGTGACTCTTGAAAGGAAGCCAGCAGACAAAGGAGAATTATAGTTTGCAGAGTATACAGAAGGCTAGATTTGGCACTCAGAAAAAAAATACTTGAAAACTTGCATATTCTGGAGTAGAACAGAAGCCTTTCAAAAAGGTCCATGTATATCCAAGAATTCTATATATGAGAAAAGTAGCATTTCAAACCTGGAGGAAAGAGTAATTAGTCAATAAATAGTTCTGAGTTGATTTATTTTTGGAGGGAGAGGGAAAAGGACTATATACAAAAGTAAGTTCAAGATGGATTAAATAGGGTCAGGAGTTAAACTGAAAATAACGGGAAGCAGATATAGACGAACATTTATCTGATGAATTGTGGCTCCTGAAGTTGCGGGTTCAAGGTCTTGTTTAAATAAGCCTTATTTTATACTGTATCAACAAAATAACCCCTAACTATAATAACCACAGTTTTAACCTTTCTACAAAGTCAAATCTATATTAAATGTAAATCAGAATTAGTTTAACCAGCTACTTGATTGAAAGGAGAAGTTGTTTTTTTAAATTTTCTATTCCAGGTTATGATTTTAAATTCCTAATCATTGCTTCTGTCTCAAGAGTTTTCTATTCTAGACCAATAGGACAGATAATAAATATGTTTCTAATTCTCTTTACAGGAGGACCTCCTTTCTTGCCAGAAACTTTTGACCGAATTCTTCTTGATGCACCCTGTAGTGGAATGGGACAGAGACCAAACATGGCTTGTACTTGGACTCTGAAGGAAGTGACATCGTATCAACCATTACAAAGAAGACTCTTTACTGTGGTATGTGACGATCTTTGCTATGAAAGAAAGTTGACCTTTGCTAGTTTGATGCTTCAGCTACTGACAGTAATGTTCACAGCAGTATGATTCACAATAGCCAAAAGGTGGAAACCACCTAAGAATTCATTGACAGATAAATGGATAAACAAAACATAGCATATCCATACATGGACATTATTCAGCCTTAAAAAGAAATGAAATTCTGGTACATCCTACAACATGCTTGAACCTTGAAAACATTATGCTAAGTGATAAGAACCACACATAAAAAGAAAAATATTGCATGATTCTGCTTCTCTGTAGTCACTAGAATATGCAAATTTATAGAGACAGAAAGTAGAATAGAGGTTACTGGGGATTGAGGGGATGGGAGAATGAGGAGTTATTGTTTAATGGGTGCAGAGTTTCAGTTTGAGATGATAAAAGTTCTGGAGATGGATAGTGGTGATGGTTGCACAGTAATGTGAATACACTGAATGTCATTGTACACCTGAAATGGTAAATTTTATGTTCTGCGTATTTTACTACATACACACACACACACACACATGAACACAAGAGATTGAGAAGTCCTAGTTTTAAATATAGGGAGCTTTCCTTTATGTAGAGTCACCCTTTAAGATATAAAGGCAATAGTAGAATTTCTTCACTGAGACATTTAATAAATTTCAGACATTGTGCTCTGTCTTAGAAAAGTCACTGAGTTTTTAACATATAGTTACTAATTGATATAAAGAATTGGATATAAAATAAATCACTCTTTTTTTATAGGGTTCCTGGGTCATCTTATATAGCAAATTAGAAGTAGGAAGTCCAATAGAGACAAACCCATTGATAAAAATGGGAATTGATGGGCCAGTGTAGGATAAAAGAACCATGAAAACTGTGCAAATTTATCTGGTCTCTAGTATGTTTTAAAGGAAGCCCAGATAGAACATTTGAGGATTTCTCTCAGTTTCAGAGTATGGACAGCATTTGATCAAAGACAAATTTATTATTTCTTCTCAGCCTTCCAATTATAAATTCATAGGCTATAGCAACAATGGATATTCTGTAATTATTCAGTCTCTAAAGTTGTCTTTGAGTACATTTCTATTCAACTCTCCTGGTGTCTCCTTTCATACACAAAGGTAGCACTGGTTGTGGATCATTTAACTTCTTATTTTTTCTATTATACTCTTCAAAGAACAAATCCTTGGAATTAAAACAGCAAGCAGCAAAAAGGAAGCTTTTCTTATAGCTGAAATGCACTTCGACTTCAGGGTAAAATTAGGATTCTGCTGTAAAGGACTTGGTTTCTTGTTCTTTTTAGGTCATAGCAAAAAGGAAATTTTAAAAGGCTACCAGGAGGAGATGCAGCGATGATCTCAATGAAACGGAAAAGCTTACAGTGGTGAGAGAGAACTTGAGAGTGTAGCAGGGGTGCCATTTGGCAGGGACAGAAATTGAGAATGCGGACTTTAGGGTCAGGCACGTCTTCATTCCAGCCCTGACTCCTCCACACAAGTGACTGTAGGTCCATTGGCTTTCACAATGGAGAAAGAGGGATAATAGCTCTTCCTAATATTGGTGACAGTAACCTTACCTTAGGGTTGTTGCAAGGATTTATTGAGAGAATCCACATAAAGCCTTTAACACAATAACTGGCACATAGTAACAGAGTTTAAATTTTGATCAGCGTACTCTGGTTAAAAAAACACGAGTAGGCTGGGTACTATGGCTCATGCCTATAATCCCAGCACTTTGGGAGGCCAAGGTGGGAGGGTCGCCTGAGGCCAGGAGTTTGAGACCAGCCTAGGCAATGTAGCAAGACTGAGTCTCTAAAAAAAAAAAAAAAAAAACAGGGCATGGTGGTGCATGCCTGTAAGTCCTAGCTACTCGGGAGGCTGAAACAGGATCACTAGAGCCCAAGAGTTTGAGGCTGCAGTGAGCTATGATCATGCCACTGCACTGTAATCTGAGTGATGACTGAGTGAGACCCTGTCTCTTTAAAAAAAATTATAATAATATAGGCCCAGGTATCTACTGTATTTTTAGAAATTTTCATTCAAATTTTTTAAAAATCTGGGAGTTTGAAAATGTCAACTTTAGGTATTTGGGACAAATAAGATTTTAGCGTAACACCTTATTTTCTGATTCACTTATTCTACAAATGTTCATTGAGCACCTACTATAATATATGCAAGACACTATTCTAGAGGTTGACAATATAGTAGTGAGAAAGCAGACAATCCATGGCTGTATTCATGGGGTTTCTATTCTAGCTGAGGAGGGAAGTAAATGAGTAAGTTATTTAGCATCTTGTGAGGCCATAATGCTATGGCCCTATGGAGCAAAGTGAAGAAAGGAGAGGGGGATGGGAGTGCTGGATTAGAATAGTTCCAGTTTTACCTAGGGTGTTCGGGAAGAACATTGTGGAAAAGATGACATACAAGCAAAGATAAGGAGATTCCGAAGGAGCAAGTATTCAGAGAATTCAGGGAGTTTCCATGATGGTGCAAAGATCCTAAGGTGGACGTGTCCCTTGCACGTTCCAGAACCAGCAGGTGGCCAGTGTTGCTAAAGGGGAATGAGCAAGGGTGAGGGGTGTAGGAGAGGAGGTCGGAAAGGCAACCAGACTTGAAGGCCTCTGTAAGGACTTTGGCTTTGACTCTAAATGATAATGGAGGACATTTGAAGGGTTTGGGGCTGAGAAAGGGACAAGTTTAAACGAATTGCTCTGGCTGCTGTGCTGAGACGAGTTTGCAGGAGGGTGCAGAAGGAAGCAGGCAGACTAAGTGGGAGACTGTTGCCATAATCCAGGCAAAAGATAGAGGCTTGGACCAAAGGGATAGCAGTGGAAGTGGTGAGAAGTGGCCAAATTCTGGCTATATTTTGAAGGTAGAGCCAATAGAATTTGCCGGTAGATGGGGAGTGTGAGAGAAAGAGAAACAAAGGATAATCTAAGGTTTGAGATATGAGCATCTGGAAAGATGTGAAGACTTATGCAGTAGGTTTCAAAGGGAACATAGGAGTTCATTTTGGGAAATGTTAAATTTGATAATAGAAATCTTAAGGCAACCGAATATCTGAATATGGAATTCAGAAAGGATGTCTGGCCTAAAAACGTGAATTGGTGAGTTTTCAGCATAAAAATGGTACCTAAAGGCATGAATCTGAATGATTGTATTTGGGAAAGTCTTGGTCCATATGGAGTACGACAGCTCCGAGATAGTGAAATGCACCTACTTTGGGCAAGTATCATTCTTACATGCTATAATTAGAGAAAAAATCCATATCACATAGAGCATCATTGTATTTATCCCAAACACTGGAAAGGTTGCATACATTATGCTATGAAATTCCTTCAGATATTTATTTGATCTTGTGGTCTACATGGTCTGATTACAGTTTTCTTTAGGCAGTTCAGCTGCTGAAGCCAGGGGGTGTGCTGGTTTATAGCACATGCACTATAACACTGGCAGAAAATGAAGAACAAGTTGCCTGGGCCCTCACAACATTTCCTTGCCTGCAGCTTCAGCCCCAGGTAGTAATAGTTTCATTTTTCTCTGTGTAATCAGATAAGTCACAGAAACAGAGGCGTGGTGATAAAAGGGTGTTACATGAAGAAATATGTCAAGTTAAACTTGTGAAATGAATATGGTAATATGCAATGTTTTTCTAATTAGATCCATTTTAGACTGCCCACAGAGAATTGGAGAATTTGCATGTCTTGACAAAGTTTTTCCCTGTCTTTGTTCCTTGCCATTGTGTTAAAATGGCACAGAGCTTAGGTGCATTTTTATTGTGTTGATTCCATTTGCAGAACTGTTACTGTTCATGTTACTTGGCCCTTTCTTTCTAAAAATTTTTTTTTTTTGCCTTCCCAATCCTGTAATTTTCTGATATGGAAAATGTTGAGCATTTTTTCTCATGTCACATCAAAGCCCAAACAGGAATTTAGTAACTGTGGGATATCAAAAGACCAGCCAAGAGGACAAAAAGTAGTTCAGGATTATTGCTTCTTTACAATCTGTTATATAAACTGTATAACATTTAAAAAGCTCTCTTGTACTTTTGTACCTAGCACTAGTCTAACTTTCCGTTACAGTCTTTATTAAGATTGTATTTATGATTCAGTTTTTAGCCCAGGACATTTGAGATTAAGTTTAAATCTGTAATAATGCTCGCATTCATTTAAATATGCTGAACATTTAACTTTGGAACTTGCCTATACAGAAAGTAACTAATTAGACTACATAAATAAAAACAATTTAGAGATGGTTTCTAGACTCGGAAATTAAGATAATTACATCACAGATGGAGGGAAGCCTTCAGAATTCACGTGGAAGTATATACATACTTACACATATACTCAGTATATACCTGAAAGAGATGGAAAGTTTTCCCTTTATCCCCATGGGATAATAAACTATATGTCTGAAAACCTGTCTTACTAACATACAAACATTTGTCTGTGAAATGGTGACTTAAAGTTAGGATTATAGATCTTTTTCAGTAGTGGTTTGCAAGTATCACTCAATTCCTTATGATTACATATTCCTCTAAACTAGTTGATACAGCCTTAATTTATGTATCCCTTTCTAATATTTGTTCTTGTAGTACATGTAAAAACAAGAAAAAACTTTTATCATCGATTGGTATGGGTCAGAGAGAGGTATCTTAGATGCCTAAGGAACTCCTTTCAGAGTTTGAGAATGGCAAAGCAGAATTTTATCTATTGCTTTATTGGTAATAATGGTCATCATATTTACAGGACGTTCATCCATATTTATTCACTTTGTCCAAACAGGAACCGCAGATTGGAGGAGAAGGAATGATGGGAGCTGGCCTGTCATTTGAACAATTGAAACAGCTGCAGCGATTTGATCCATCTGCTGTGCCATTACAGGACACTGACATTGATTCTCTCAGAGATGCCAGAACAGAAGACATGATGTGGTTGGCAAATAAGGATTGTATAGGTTTTTTTATTGCAAAATTTGTAAAATGCAAAAGCACATAGAAGGATCCTCAGAAATGAAAATTCCAAACATTTGCTGTCTGCATTTTTTTTTTTTTTTTTTAAACCAAAGTGTTGTCAGGCCAACTGAGTGATGGCATGGTTGCTAAGGAAACAGAAAAGGCTGCCAGCTGTTTCACCAGGATCAAGAGACAGAGGAAGTAGGAGGATGTGTGAGATTACATTTTGTGTTTTTAAAATACTTTTTTCTTTGTGGGTTTAGTAGAGTATAGAGAAAAGGAGATGTCTATAGCTGCCTGGAACATATTTTCATTTGGAGTCTAATATTTGTAAAGACTACAAGTCATTTTTAATGTTAAAAATTAGTCAATCTAACAAAAGGAATAAATTAGCAATATTTAATGTGATTATAAAAATTGTTTTCTGTTCCCAAGTAATAGTGCCTCAAGAATTCAGGACACTAATTAATATGTACCAATAACTGAGGTAAGTATTTTACCTAACTCACTCTCTGCTTATTATTTGGGACATCAACCCTCTTTCAAATGAAGTATGGACCTCTTCTAACTGATATAGTCTACCTTTAATTTTTTTCATGATTTTAAAAATGAGAATATTCTACAATTTGGATACCTTATCATTTTTTAGAACATATACAAGTTATTAGAAAATGTTTGGTGCAAAAGAGAAAAACCAACAGCTGGGAACGGGCCCAGCACTTAGAGCTGGGCCTTGACGTTCTATTGAACATAAACCATTTCACATAAAACCATCAGATAAGGCAATTGTGCCTATGATAGATCCAAACAAAAAAAGACTACTTCACAATCAAATCTGGACTTGGACAAAAGACAGAACATCATTGGAACTGCAAAAATGACCAAAGATCCCCTTATGATGGCCAATACAAGTGACTTTTTTTAAAAAAATTATAGCCTCAGGCTTGTTTTATTCTACTTACTGGCTTTTTATATGAGATCTATTAAAATACTCAATACTCTGCCATAGTTTAAAGGATAGCTCATGTGGTGGTCAATACATCAAACTGTTTTGTTAGCTTTCATTCAAACCACCCAAAAGCCACTGGGCATATGAAATGCACAGTTGAAAACAAGTGCCTAATAGTTTGATATTTTTTTCCCCTCATAGGTTTCCTTTAGGAACGTCTCATAACTATTTATTGTGTCCACAACGATTACAAGGCCTCTTAGATCAGGTAAGACCTTTAGATGGACTCTTCTTTGAAGAAGCCTGTCTCGAACACCCTTCCCTGAAGTTGTTTAGGCACCACTCTTTCTCTGTGTTCCATTCCTCATCTCTGTTGGTCTCCTAGCGCTCACCGAACACGCTTTCATTCAAGTTTACTAGCCACGCCCTCTAAGCCCCACATTCACACTTGGGAAACATCCTGGAGGCAGGCACCCTGTCTGTTCAGTCACTGCCTCAGAGTAGACAGTGAGTCAATGATACGGAATGAGAAAGAAATTATTTCAAGCATATCTGTGTCTCTTTTACATCCCTCATTCTGCCTCATATCCCGTAGATGTCATTTGACTAAAGAGAAACACTTTAACTGTGGCATTTCTCTTTCCAGGGCTTAACATACCTTCTCAAATTTTAAATGTATGTTTAGAAACCCCACAAAATCCATTTCCTCTCATGCTCTCTGCAAAGCCTTATGTGCTAAGCTGGGATGAAAATCTGCATAACAACAAAATTGTACTAGTGTAAATGTTTGATTAATACCAGCAAATATCAATCAGGATATAAGCAATGCCAGCAAAATATTTGCATATTGAAAACATTAAATTTCTTTGAACATGGACAATTTTCGGTGGGTTTTGTCCTTTAAGCAAATTGGAAAATAAAACACATGAGCTGAAGAGACACAGAAATGTAAGAAAAAATGCAATATGAAGGGGAAAAAAATCAGGAAAATGTGAGGGACAGTTAATGTATCTTTTAACATATTTACTGTTAACACAGGTATGTCTATGAAAGTATGGGCCCAGCATGCTTCTGCTGCGCAACTCAGCTGTCTCCTAAAAAGGATTTAAAATCAACAGTGAGTACATTTTACTTTAAAACCCTGTGTCACATTGTAAATAGCAAAGTACAAGTGGTAAAAATACAATTTAACAGAAATGAAAGAACTGACCCAGATTACTCGAGGTTAGATCTTGAATCTTTTACCTACCTTGAGCTATTTTTTTTTAAATCAGACATAATGGAAAGATTACTAAAGGAACATCATGTGTTTAGCATTGCCCCTAAGGAACATGCTCCACAAGTGGGAAGAGTTGTTGAATATTTAACATAGTCTCAGTTACATGAATCATTCCTAAAATGGCAATTAATACTACTAATAAACAGTGTAGAAGCCAGCTCTTTATTTGTTTTATATGAATTACTTTAAACCAGGTTTGTTAAACAGTTCAGTGTAGCTGACAGTGAATGTTTAACAGGAATGCATAGCAGACCATGTTAAAAATGTGGCATTGTCCCAAAGTACAGTATGACTAAGACATCCTACATTTAGCAGCACCTTTTTGTAATAGTAACTTAAATTAGCAGTAGAGAAAGAGCATAGGAAAGACTGAAATGGGTATGACAAAAAAACATAGAACTATTAAGTACATTTCCAGCATTTTCTAGGTTGACTACAAAAATCATGATTCTACAACTGAGTAGGTTAAGATTAAACCTTTGCTGTGTGAAGACTAATTTTACATTCCACAAGTCAGTAAATATCCCATTGTCCTTGGGATTATTTCTTCATTTAGAAATTTACTACACACTGTTTACACATATGCTCACTATACAGTTTTCACGTGTAGATGTTCTTATGTCAAATCCTTCAATATAGTTTTTAGAGGAATACTGATTTGCACTAATGTATTCCACAGTAAGGTGAAAAACTAAGAACCCAAGTACAAAACAAAAAGGATGGAATCTATTAGCACTGTTCTTTGAAAGGAATTAATGATAGCAAGTGATACCAGTTATACTTCAAGAATGTAAAAATTTAAATATTCCAAAATCATTAATTAGGATGAAATAATGTAGGAAAGGATCAGACCGTTAATCAGCAACATCTTACCATGATGAAAGTTTAGCAATTGGAATATGGTTTCCCTGTGATGCGAGAATTTTGTCAAAAAAGTTGCATAATATGACCAGTTTTTATATTCAATAAATTTCATGTAAACAGACCTAATTTACAAATAAATTGATTCTGAGGGAAATTTTTTCATATATCAGCTGATATTTAAAACGTAGTTTTCTTGGGGGTAAGGAAAATGAGTTAAATGTAAAACAGTGTAACTTACGAAAGTCTAAGAATATTTGGCAAGAACTTGGAATAATCAAGGAAGCAAAACCAAAAGTAGATTATTGTAACTATTATTATTTTGTTAAATAAGTTAATGTACAAATCTGAATTTACAGGTAGGCATTTTCCTGGGACAAACTTCAAGTGCTAGGTACTTAATACTGTCTTACCTGTCCAGTCACGACTGGACAAAATATACACTTACGAGACACAGAAATGGTTTTAGCCTTAAGATGAAAACAGCATTGTAAGCTTCTTACAGCAGTGTATTGAGGCATGGAGATAGGTTCTTCCCCGCTTCAGAGTAGATGTCTGATGTAGGAAAATATTCTTAACATTTTATTCATTTCAAGTCCCCCCGTTTTGCCCTGATTACTTCTGAAGAGCAGAAACTTTGGTTATAAGCAGCACTTCTGGGTCCTGACAGTGAAACTGTTGGAGCTGGTGGCGGGGAGGAATGATAGGTAACTAGGAGATAAACAAGAGGAACAATAGGCAAGGTTAGAAAATGAAGTGGGAGAAGTTACAAAAATTTATTTTCCCACAAAATAATTCCACAAGCTGTGTAAACGTTTCTTACTTAAAACAAATACTCAAACACACAAAGATTTTACATTTCCAGTGAAACACTCACAGTAAAAGTTGCCTGTATTTTTACTCTCTAGGAGCAAAAACAAGGAGCCAGCAGATGAATGCTTTCCTAGTTACCTTTGGCAGCAAGCTTCCTCACATTCCCTGACTGCTCAATGGATTGTAAAGCAACGTACAGCACAATTAAATACAAAGCCAGGTGGGTAGAATTCTAGATATCAGTCTCTAGTTTCTTCATTAGTCTTCAGCATTCCAGCTCGTCTCAAGCAATCACTCATGCACACTCTTACATACAGATGCATACAGTGGGTTCTGGCTCATATACTCCAGTGCAGTGACTATAACAGACACTAGCTACTTAAGAATGTATTTGTCACAATCAGTGTGAACTGTATGGAGTAGAACAACCTCTGGAGTTTGGTTATATTTACCATAATTTATGGTGAAAATTACAAACTTACAAGGATGGTATAACATTCAGAAATCAAACCTTTTCAAGTCAAGCAATCACACATATTTACAGTATGTACAGACTTTCTAATAGAATGAGGATAGTGTCTAGACAATGTTACTACAAATTTCCTGAATGTGGCATTTCTAGTCCCTGTAATTCATAAAGCAAATCTGCTGACTTGGCATTAAGACTCTAAAATAGTGTGATCAAACTGATATATATATATGTATATAATAAGGTGTTTGCAGAAATAACATTTACAAACTGTCTATACAGTACACAGTACTAGTACATAGAAAATAGATTCTAACTTTATGATCCCCTTTGTGTAAGGCAAGACTGAATCTGTCCCCAAATTTAGTCAGCCAGAGGTACAAGCAAGAAACAGTGGTCCATTAATGAATGAATATGCGAATCAGGTGCCTGCGTATTAAAAAATCTAGAGATACAAGAAATTCCACTTTTTATCTGTGCTGATTCTGCCTTGCTGGGTACATCAGCTACCTTTCTTAAAACACTAACATCACCTGGATGGCAACAGATTTTGTTCAAGTGGCAGCTACCCAAAACAGTTTTTGAAAGAGTCCAGTATAGAACTGGAGGACTGCAGCCATCCCAGGCCAATTTGTATAGCATTTACAAAAGAAAAAAAAGTATATTAATACTCTATTTCATGCTATTGCTATTCAAGCAACAGCAATACAAAATATTACAAGACAGATCACATATGATTGATTGTAATATAGACCCCAAAGATTTTGTTTCAGGGTGTTGTTACACAAGACTTCCCAAAAAAAAAAACAAAAAAACACAAAAGGGCATAAGTCATTGGCGGATGTAAACATCCCTGTTCCACTCCCCGGCCTCATTCCGTTTTTTGGATATTACTTCTCCATCCTTGTCACAGTAGCGATCCTTAGATTTATGACGGCTTCGTTGTTTGTTGCACTCGTTGTGGTCCTGCTCTCGCTCCACATCCCTGGAACGGTGCCGCGGCTCCCTGTGTCTGTGGTCACTGCTCCCATGCGTCTCATCTCTGTGGTTATGGTCACGGTGGGAGGCATAGTGGTCCACGTGTTCGTGAGGATAATCTTCCTTCGGCTCCACGTAGGCAGAGTCTCGACTCTCCTGGGTTTCTGAATCAAACGTCTCTTGCCTGGAGAGGCCTCGACTTGTGCCACTGCGATGGTTGTGGTGGGGGGCAGAGGAGGAAGAACGGTGCTGGGATTTCTTGACTGGTTCCAGGCAAGGTTCTTCTTCAGCTTGGGAAGCAGACCGGATAGGAGCGGAGCGATCAGTCCTCTGCTCACCTTGAGAACTCTAGCAAGGAAGGGAACACATGGCCACGAACCAAGGTCAGTGTGTAAAGAACTAGCAGGGCAGAGAAAGTCTATTCAAGTATCTTAATTCTTTGACGGTGGCATTTGTAAGGTTTGTACTGTATGTGAAAGTGCTTAGAACAGTGCACACAATAATTTGTTTTTTATATTTTCTCTGCTAGTTCAAATACAGATGCAGGGCCCTGAGATTTTTCTATACATGGATGCAGACTTAAATCTTCCCACATATACTTAAGCAGAGGTATTTAAGAAAAAAATTCCAAAATAATTAAAAATATAAAATGCTTAAATGGCAACATGGGGCAGGTACTGTTCTAGGACCTTGGCATGTAATAACTCACTAATATTAACAGCCTTATGAGATAAGGTCGCCTCATGAGCTAGTTTGACCTTATACAAGAGCAGTTAGGGAACTTGGCCCAGGTTTTACACCCAATAGGAGGCGGAGCCAGGACTTGAATCCAAGTGGTCTGCTTCCACAACCTGTGCTGTGACTATCCCTGTCTTAAAGAACATGTAGTTAGTGAGTTTTACAGCCTGTGTATGTTCATAGTATATTACGTTTACATTGCTTTTCTTACAAGTACACAGCTCATAATGTTTGTCTCTGTTTAGGTAGAGTTAGTGTACAGGAACAAGCCCTGCACTGGCTATCTGGGTTTGGATCTCAATGGTGTCTGCTTAGGTAGCCTACTTTCTCTATGAAGACTTTTAAAAAAAAAAAGAACTCCCCTTACCTGTGAATTAGAGGCTAGGGTGGGGCTGAGAGGGAGAGTTGAAGTGGCCAAAGTACGGCTAAGGAGAGGGTTGGGGAGATTGCTGCTGGGAGGGTGGGTGGCCTTCCAGTAGGCCTCCAGATAGTCGGCAAGGTGCTCACAAGCATCCTCAAGCTGGTTCTCATCCAAGATCACATCAAACAACTCCTGCAGAGGCAGACGTTTCAGACAGTGCATTTATGCCAGCAGATGACTGACTCAGTTCCCATTCCCTTTCTGTTGGCTGACCATCTTATTTAGTTAGCATATAAGCAAGCATGTGTTCACCTCAAATCAGTGTTTAGGACACTAAATGCTTAACCAATAACTTTTCTGTGCTGTCACGCTCTTAACAGTCAGAATAAAAATCTGAACAGTATAGGAAGAAGCCTGTTCTCAACATGAGGATTGTGAAATCTTAATTTGGAAATGAATAAGGGAAGAGTAGGACATGAGATTTGACATGGTCCTAACTTCACAGTTCCTTAGGGAAGAAAACAATGCCTCACTTTTCAAAGGACTTCATTATCAAACATACTTCTAGCAAGCAAAAAGTTGATATAACTCTTACAGCCTCTGGAATAGCTGCACTTAGATCTGTAGTCCCAAGGCATAGTATGGATTAGAGGAATCTGGCTAACTTATTAATAGTACTTAGAAATTTATTTTCACATAGTCTCAAATCAGTTTCTCGGTTATACTGCACAGATAACTTGCTCCCCGTGATCAGATGTGAATAATAAACCAACCCCAAAAGATCCATCTTACAAACCAAATTTTTGGAACTATGGTCTTGTGTTAGATATTAACAAAATGAGGTCACCACAGACCATAGATTTTTGTAAGCCATGCCATAATCAGGAAGGAGGCAGGACAGTTTGCTTCTTTGGAATGAATACCCCTTTAAGTAATGAGGATTCTCTTTCCTGACAAGTGTTTGTCTGTTTGCTTGTTTTTTTAAAAAATAATGGCAGGTCTGATCTCTTCAACTGGATTATACCATATATAGAGAGAACTTACTGGAGGACACTGAGCCAATTTATCAGCTGCTACCATCTGGACATTGAGGTGTTTAGCTTGAGATTTCCCTCGAGATTTTATTAACCTTTGTAAAACCTGTAAAAGATAGGAGTTTGTAATAAAGGAATACCTGGACTCACATAAACTACAAGGTACATTACTGATTCCTTTCTCTGGGGCCTTTTTATATATAGTCCCTTTTCATATACGCACAAAGGGCTTACAATAGATTATCTGCAAAATTAACATAAAGCTCAGTTGCAAGCTTTAATCACCAGTGTAGCACTTTTTCTGAGTCCAAACCTTTTTTTTTTAAAACCTAAAAAAGTTTTGAGACATTGTTGACAACCCCAAAAAGCTTTTGTTTATGTGAAATATATCTAATATTCACCCTATTAAAAATTAAAACTGAGAAATTCTGAAAATATTCATTTAAAATAAATCTTACACATTAACATAAATTACTTATTTTTATAAAAATAGCTCCATATTTTTACAAATCTAATGCCTCACTTCATAGAAGATAACTGAAGTCTATCTGCGTCTACAATGTATTTTTTTTGTTTGAAATACGCAAAGAAAATCTAACCTACAGATGTGATTGAGAAGAGGAGGAATATTTTGTAGCATTTTCAGATAACTGGATATTCTTCTTTGATACTACACAAAGACTAGTTGCCCTATGAAATCTGAAATCAGTCTGTCTTGAAATTATCATTCATTGATCATTTGAAAAATAGTGTTTCACTGAGTTCTTGCAACACACACGATTAGTTCTCCTTGAAGTGACAGGCTCACTTTTTTTTTTTTTTTTAGGAGACAAGGTCTTGCTTTGTCACCCAGGCTGGTATGCAGTGGTGGGATCATAGCTCACTGTAACCTCCAATTCCTGGGCCCAAGCAGTCCTCCTGTGTCAGCTTCCCCAGTAAGCTAGGACTACAAGTGTATGCCATTATACCCAGGTAATTGTTTTAAAAAAATTTTTGTAGAAATGGGGGTCTCACTATGTTGCTCAGGCTGGTCTTGAACTCCTGACCTCAAGCAATCCTCTTGCCTAGACCTCCCAAAGTGCTGGGGTTAAAGGCATGAGCCACCACACCCAACCAACAGGCTCACTTTGTTCAAGAAGATACCTACCAAATACCCAAGCCTGTCAGTTGTTCCTTGAGATAAAAAAGATAAAAATGGTGTTCCATGAAAAAAGTCACTAATTTAGTTCACAACTCAATCACACCAGTGTTTGCCCTTGAGACAACTTACTTTGGTATGTACTTCCTATTTCATTACACAGAATATTAAAAAGACTTGTACTTAAGAGTATTCTGATGAATTTGTGAAATTTATTAAATTTTGACTCTTAAGTGAAACTGGCTTTTTTTCCCTTAAACAGTAGTGAGAACACTGTTATGATGAACACAGTAAATGCTAGTGCTTTTTGATACCACAGTCTTGATTCATGCTTAGGATCCATCGTTCATGCAAACGTCAAAACAGCAAAAAAGGCAAATAATGTCTTAGTATTATCCTAGAAGTAGTTTTGACTTTGTAGACCCTCTGAAAGTATCTCGGAACCCTCCAGGGATTCATGGACCGCATTCTGAGAATTGCTATTCTAAATCATTAAGCTAACCATGCTTTGCTTCAGTCTTAAAAATTCTTGACCAGTGAATGTCTCCATGAGTTCTACATTCATCATAAAGGCTGGTATCATTGAGAAGCAGAACAGAAAACACATTTTCGTAGAGTTTGATCATAGAGCAAATAATAGCAACCCTACTTACCTTAGGAGAGGAAATCTTTACGTACACTATAATAGGGGCCAAAGAGGTTTTACTAAGTTGAGCTGGATGATTAATAGTATCTGCATCAAGGACTACCAATTGCAGTGTTCTTGCAAGTTCAAAAATCCTTTCAATTTCACTTTGAACTTCCGCTGTAAAATGTTAAATAGAGTTCAATTACAGTATTTTTAAACTAAATTAAAGTAAAATGGTACACTGTTTCTTCAACAGGAAGGTAGGTCAGCCATTATGTTAATGTTGACAGGCAGTAGAATCAATATAAGGTATCCTTTCCGCACAACACCTTCAGAATTTAAAGAATTGCTGTCTTAACCAGCGTTAAAGTTTACTTTAGTATGATACTGTATGTCGTGATAGTTAAATTTTTTTGTTCTTGCTCTGCTGACTCACTTTTTTATGCTATAAAACCTTTACTCTATGAAATCATTTCATAAAACTATTATAAAATAAGAGATATCTTTCATGTGTTTCTAACCACTTTACCCTAGCGACCATTACTAGCTTTCCTTTTAATGGACTTATGTGTCACCTATTAGTATGCTCTCTAGATACATTTATTAACAAGTTGAAATAACAACCAGAGAGACTTGAAGGGTGTCTGTAACAAACTTGTTCAAAAGCACACTACTCACATTTTCCACCAGCAAAGGAATTGGGCCTGCGACATTCATGTTTTAAAAGGGCCGTTACCTAAGGGCTGCACTACAGAAATCCAAACGACAAAAGCTTATTGAAAACGTGTCACCACACATTTCAAAATCTACTTGAACTCCAAGAAAATTACATTCAGTTCTGCTGCTGCTCCATGATCTCTCTTAATAATTTAAACAGGCAGAAGCTACGGTATTAGGCAGCATAGGTCTATAAAACGTAATATGTAGCTTGCAGTTCCCACTGTAGTCATGGAGGGTCATTTCCTTGAGACTCCTTCAGTTTAAAAATAAAAGTATAGGCAATAACCACAAACACATGCAAATTACCAAAAAATGAGGCAAATGCTATTTGTAAAGGAAGCTTGTAATAGCCTATAAAGTCAAATTTAAGGTAAACATCATACAAAAATTTTGTTATATACAAACATAACAAAGTTGTAGGCCTTTATATCAATAACAGCACTGGAATATGTCAGCTGAAATTACTAATCAATTATGAATTTCTCATATTTGTAATAGCTTCAATCAAACTCTGACAGATAAGTTAGCAAAAAAAAGGTTCTGAAGGCTCTGAATAATATAATTAATATCGGTGATTTAATAGAAGTATAAAATTAATAACAGTCTATATATAAAGGAAACAAATATCCAACCACTTGAGGGATTCAAGTCGACATTACAAAATAAAAAATGGTTTAGCTCAGTGGTGTTTAAAGTATGATCCTGGTACCAGCAGCATTAGTATCTCCTAGAAATGTGCTAGAAACACGGATTCCCAGGCCACATCCCAGACTCGCTGAACCAGAAACCCTGGGGGCGAGGCCCAGCACTCTGTGTTTCAACATGCTTTCCGTAGAGTTCTGATGCAAGCTCAAGTTTGTAAACCACTGTCCTGAGGATTAAATGAGATTTTTTTTTTAAAGTGCCTTATCCAAGTACAGCTTGCTGTTACTGTGAGGATAATGAGTATTTTCAGAATAGAATAAAAACGATTTCTGAAATGGGTTACTGAGGAAGCATCTTCATTAAATTAGCAATTTTTTTTAAAGTATGATCTCCAAGAACTTGTTAGAAATGCAAATTCTCATACTTCATCCCACACTTACTAAATAAGAACCTTTGGGGTTGGGACAAGCAATCTGTATTTTAACATACCCTCTAGGTGATTCTGATATAAGCTAAAGTTTGAGAATCACAGATGTGAAGAAAAAAGCAGTAGTGACAACTCCATGTACCAACACTCATGGAAAGCACTCAGTGCTGTCTGGCTTCAAATCGAGATTTATATTTTATACACTTTAGTCTTTGAATAAGAAATAGAAGAATTATATAAACTATGCACTGTATTTGAAAAATCAGAATTGACACTGCTAATATTGCTTCTTGTTGCCATGAAAGTTTAAAAAACCACTAATAATAGCAACCACCATTGACTTATCTCCTCCTACTATGTGTCAACACATTCTATCCACATGGCAATCCTAAAGATACGTTCTAATATTTTCATCATTTTAAGGATGGGAAATAGAAAGACTATGTAAATCTACTAGCTTAAAATCAATAAGAATAACAAAGGCCTGAAGGAAAGCAAGAAGAATAAATATAAAAGCAAAATTTAAAAAATAGAAAATGGGAGCCTTTAGTACCACAAATAGCATATATGCATAAACTTATACACCTAGAGTATGACACTATCAGTTTTGCCCAAAGCTCCAATTTTAAAATGTTTCCCATCCTATAGGGTCCACATAATACTCCTAACATGTCATTTAACATGTGATACTGGGGAGTGGGTGTTCTCTGATCATTCTCCTGCCTGGTTTATTTTTTCTTTTTTCAAATCATCTCTGCCCTTGCACTACCATGAGAAAAACTAAAAATCCTCATGCTGTACAAAGAATTACTTAATGTGTAATTCATGCATTCCTCTTCTTCAGCGATATTAGAAAAGGTTTTTGCACATTGAGTTTCCTAGAAATCCAGATGACGCATCTGGCCAGTCTGTATCACCAATTCCCTGGGCTCTGGGCCCATGGCCACCTTCCACGGGGTCCAGGTTCTTGTCCCTCTGACCCTCCCTGCTTCCTCTATTTGAGTAGAGCACTAAGTCAGGAATAGAAATGCCCTATCTGGAAAGTCAGTGGGTGTTGCCAGTCTTTATCTTGCTTGACCTCTAGCGTATGGATCACTGAAACACATTCCCTCCTGACTGTGCTACTTCTCTCCGGAAGTTTTCCCCGTGCAGCTATTTCTTGTTCTTTCTCAAGAGCCTCCTTTCCCTGCCAACCTCTAAATACTGGTGCTTGTCGGGGGTCTGGGCTCATCTTAGCCTTCTCATTCTGGATTCTCTGACTACATGTATAAACTAATGGCTTCCAAATACAAAATACAGTTCATAGTTATTCATAGATTCTGTATTTACAAATTCACGTGCTTCCTAAATTTATTTATAACCACAAAAGCAATATTCGTGGCACTTTGGCACTCATTTGTGGACATAGAGAGTAGCGAAATTTGAGTCACCCAATGCGCAGGTTCCTAGCTGAGGTTGAGCAAAGCAGTACTCTGCCTTCTTGTTACAGCTCTTAGACTGGTCTTTTTAGTGACATATATTTTGCATTTTTGAACTTCTGATTGATGATTTCACTGTTTAAAATGGCCCCCAAGCATAATGCTGAAGTGCTGTGTAGTGTTCCTAAGCACAAGACTGATGTGCCTTATTAGAGAATACATGTGTTGGATGAACTTCGCTCAAGGATGGGTTATAGTGCAGTTGCCTGTGAGTTCAGTGTTAATGAATCAACAATATATATTAAATAATGTGTCTTTAAATGGAAATGCACATAAACCACAGTTATATATTGATTAGTTGACGAAAATGTTGTGACCAGAGGCTCCCAGGAACCTAACCCTGCATTTCCTCTAGGAACAATGGGTCAGTATTTGCTAATTCAGTATTTGTGGTGATTTTATAGAACATGACTACTGTGAATAACAAGAATTAACTTAAGCCCTGCCCTCTGTTTTGTTCCAGATCTGTACATAAAACTGCCTGCTGTTTATCTGGATGCTCCACAACATGCAAATTGCTATATCCACAACTGAAGTCATCATCTTCCTTATCCCCCTCCACAGTCCACTGCCTTGTCCTGGACCCCTTTATCCCCAGACCACCACCATCCATCACCCAGTTCCTTAAAGTGAAAGCAGAAACCATCCTGGATTTTCCTTTGTACTCCACATTTAATAGATTATCAGATCCTGACACTCCTATTCTTTCATCTTGAATTCCTCTTTCTCCTCATGCCCTCTGCCACTGTCTTGCCTCCAACTCTCTCATTATTATTCTTTTTTTTAATATTTTAAATTATTTTTTAAATTTCAGAATATTACAATGGTACAGATGTTTTGGTTACATGGATGCTTTTGTACTGCTTGAGTCAAAGTTATAAGTGTGCCCATCACCCAGATAGTGTACACTGTACCCGTTAGGTATGATTTCACCCATCCCTTTCTCCCCCCTCCCACCTGCATGATTTCCACTGAGTGCTGATGGGTTAGTTTCCACTTTAATAGTGAGTACATGTGGTGTTTATTTTTCCATTCTTGTGATACTTCACTAAGAGGACAGTCTCCAGTTTCATCCAGATTGTTACAAAAGGCATTAAGTCATTTTTTTTAATGGCTGAGTAGTATTATACACCATGGTTACATATGCCCTGCCACATTTTGTTAATCCACTCATAAGTTGATGGGCATTTGGGCTGATTCCACATCTTTGCAATTGTGAACTGTGCTGCAATAAACATTAACTCATCCTTTTTATGGCTGAGTAGTACTCCATGGTGTACATATGCCACATTTTATTAATCCACTAGTGAATTAATGGGCACTTGGGTTGATTCCACATCTTTGCAATTGTGAATTGTGCTTCCAATAAACATTCTAGTGCAAGTGTCTTTTTGATAAAATGACTTTTTTGTCTTTGGGTAAATACCCAGTAGTGGGATTGCTGGATTGATCAAATGGTAGGTCTACCTTTAGTTCTTTGAGGACTTTCCATACTATTTTCCGTAGAGGTTGCTCTAGTTTGCAGTCCCACCAACAGCATATGAGTGTTCCTATCTCTCATATCCACTCCAGCATCTACTATTTTGGCACTTTGTGATAAAAGCCACTCTCACTGGGGTTAGGTGATATCTCATTGATAGAACAGAGAACCCAGATACAAAAACATCTACATATTGCCATCTGATCTTTGACAAAGTAGACAGCAACATACACTGGGGAAAAGAATCCCTATTCAATAAATGGTGCTGGGAAAATTGGATAGCCACATGCAGAAGATTGAAATGCCCTCTTATCCTCTAAGATGAATGATGACAACGGCCTCCTAAGTGACCTCCCTGCCCAAGTCTTGCCCCTTCTCCACCCTGCTGCCACATGGATTCTTCTAAAGTCAACAGTCTTACTTTGTGCCTGGGGTTCTGCACAGAGTCCATCATTTCTCTCAGAATCTGCTTCAGCAGATTCCTACTGCATCCCTCACTTCTCTCTTGCCCCGTTCCATCCTCTCCTCCATAATGCTGTGATTCTTCTAAGACATATGTTACACTGTGTCATGTCTCTGCGCTCCTACAGCTTCCTGTTCCATCCACAACAAAAGGCAAGGTCTTTCCACGTCTACTAAGCCCTGCACTATCAGGCTCCCCACAGCCTCTCTGACCCCACGGCTCACCCCACTGCAGTCACTGGCCTCGCTATCCCTCGGACACGTCAGACACACTCCTGCCTCAGGGTCTTTGCACTGCTCTAAGCACCTGAGAAAACAGTTTCCCTTGCCTTGAACACTCTTCCTCAGGTAGCTGCAGCAAGGCGACAGAGCTCACCACAGAAATCATCCTGCTAAAATGTCACTTCCTTGGAGCTGCCTACCCTGTATAAAATCACACCCTCCTCCCCAGCTTACGTTCTACTCCCCAGCCTGCTGCTGCTTTCAGAACACATCGACCACTCACCGACTATCTGTAACTGTCTGTGTTTTACATCTATACGTTTTTGTCCATGTCTTCCCTGTGAAATAAAAACAGAGGGAAAAAAAAAAAAACTATGAGAAGGACAACTTTGTGTCCTTCACTTCTGTGTCCCTGGCACTTAGAATGATGCCTAGCACGTGGCGGTACTCAAATAGTTGGTAAATGAATGAATGCCTCAAATCTGTACATTTCCCTAATGCCTCAAAAATAAGCTCCAAATTCCTTATTTTCTTACCCCTGCCTATCTCTCTGGTGTTGTAGTCCATCTCCCTCTTTTTTAAACTGTATATTTCAGCAAAAGTGAAGCAGATATGTTTTCCAGAATCCTCTTGTAGCTTCCACTCTCAGATCACTGTCATGCTGTCCAACCCTTTCCCTTTTTTCTTGGCTAAATCTGATCATGTTGGAAGTCTCAGCTCATGATCAGCTCCTGGGAAGAGCCTTTCCCCAAGGCCTACATTCTTCTACAGCATTAGCTCTTTGGCAATCAGTTCAACACTGGACCACTTTGCTCATCACCCTCTCTTTCAATGGGCTCTTAACTTACTTGCCTTATTGCTACACCAAGCTCCTAGGTAGCAGGGGCTTCATCTAATCCGTCTTTCCCAGGCTTTAGCATGATAGTCAGTGTCTGCTATATGCTCAGTAAAATATATGGAGTGGAAGAGTCATTTAAAAATAATGCATATTTTTGTCAGAGGTGAGAGGTACAGATCCTGTTTCATTCTTCTACATTTGGCTATCCAATTTTCCCAGCAACATTTATTGAATAAGGATTCTTTTCCCCAGTGTATGTTTCTGCCTGCTTTGTCAAAGATCAGATGGTTATATGAGGATGGTTTTAAATCTGGGTTCTCTGTTCTGTTCCATTGGTCTATGTCTCTGTTCTTGTGCTAGTACCGTGCTGTTTTGGTGACTATAGCCTTGTAGTATATCTTGAAGTCTGGTAAATTGATGCCTCCTGGTTTGTTCTTTTTGCTTAAGGTTGCTTTGGCTATACGGAGTCTTCTCTGGTTCCATATGAAACACAGAATTATTTTTTCTAGATCTGTGAAAAATGTTTTTGGTATTTTAACAGGGATTGCATTGATGTGATATATGTACACCATGGAGTACTACTCAGCCATAAAAAAATGGTGAACTAATCTTGTATTAACCTGGATGGAACTGGAGCCCATTCTTCTAAGTGAAGTATCACAAGAATGGAAAAACAAACACCACATGTACTCACCATTAAATTGGTACTAATCAATCAACACTTATATACACATATGGAAGTAACATTCATCAGGGATTGGGAAGGTGGGAGGGGGAGGAGAGGATCAGGAAATTCACACCTAATGGGTGCAGTATGCACTGTCTGGGGGATGGGCATGCTTATAGCTTTGCCTTGGGTGGTGCAAAGGCAATTTATGTGACCAAAGCATTTGTACCTCCCTATATTCTGAAATAAAAAAAGAAAAGAAAAAGAAAAAAGTTAAAAAAAATAACGTATAGTCAATAGTCAAAAAAAGCCTGGTAATCTAAATAAATCTTTTATGTCACTGATTCAGTTATGAGTCTAAACAAATTACTTGACTTTGTTAATCAGTGGAATATATTAAAGAAGCAATTTTATAATAATTCCTGTGAGCATCAAATAATGTGTCACACGAGTTTTAAGTGTCACAGAAGACAAGGACATAAAAAGAAATTGCTGTAAGCACATTAGATTATCACAGTTTCCCCCCTAATAAATTTCTAAACCTGTTATGAAGTTTCATTAATGAGAAGTTGTTAGGTGAGGAATAAAATTTAGTTGTGTAAAATATCATATTCATTCCTAACAGATAGTTTATTATTTCTAAAAGTTTTTCTATTACTTATGGAATGATACTTCAGAGTAAACTAAAAACTCCTATATTAAAAGTGAGCCTCCCCAAAATTTATATAACTTATAAATATTAATAGAAAAAAAGTAACTAAGCTCCAAGGTCTTACACTACAGTCCTCGGAAGATTTACCTCATAAAGACAGAAACCTAACAATCCAGTGATTAACATGTGTAACAGTGATTAACCTAAAACCCCAAGCACATGCCAAAGAGAAGAAATAGCTGAAGGATCTCGATATGATCAAATCAATGCATGTTAATACACAATATCCAAACACCACCCTGTAAACATGTTAACTAAAATCCCCACACTGTTTTTACAAATAAAACAAAAATGTTGATATCAATAGAAAATAGCTAGGAATTGACCTCATCCTTTATCAATCTCAACTACACACACAAACTGCATCATCCTGAATTTCATTATGGATATAATTCAAGTATTAAGGGGTACTTGGGATAATAGCCATCATTTATGGAGTACATACCATGTTTAATCCTTAAAAGAATTCAACAAAGTAGTTATCTTTTTTTTTTTTAAATGAGGGAACACCCTTCAAGAGATTAATAAACGTGCTCATGGTAACACTGATGCAAAGCCAGCAGTTTTTAGAGTCTATAGACACCAAAGCTCCTATTAGTGAAAACAAACCACAACCACAACATTCATGTTGACAGCATGCGGAATTTTTAACTTGAAGCTATCATAACAAATCCTTCCATGCCACAAAATCATTGAGACTGTAGCACTAGCTACTGGGAACACACGTTGCTTTTCTTTATACTCTGTGACACATGGAATTATCATCTTGTTAGATCTCCTCATCGTCATCTTCAGGAGAGGAGTGTTAAAATAGCTTAAGATCATTGCACAGACTTACCTAAGCTTGACCTCGTGTTGGATCTTTCTATTATTGCGTGCTTACTGGGATTGTTTAATACTGAGCGTTTGGCAAGCGAGATATCAGCAGTGACCCTTGTGATGGATATCCTGTTGGAGAAAAAGTAACAGACAACCCGAAGGTCATTAATCAAAGGAGGACGTACATGACCCAAAGAAATGTAAGTGTGAAATATATATAGTGACCATATCTCCACACGCTATATGTGAGGAAACTTAATCATTCATTTTTGTTTATCCCACACCGTAGTTAGCATTTATTGGTTGCTTACCAAGTGCTAGATGCGTACTAAGCACTTTATGTGAATTATCTCATTAAATCATCCATTTTCTCACTTTTGCTGATGAAGAAAATGAGCCACAGGGAGATTATCTATCCAACGCTGTGTATTTACTAAATGGTAGAGCTGGGATTTGAACCCAGACTTCTGAGCGTATATTCTTAGCCCCTGCACCCATACTTCAGTTCTGTTATAGGCATCAAGAATAAATAATAAAAGACAAACATGGTATTCCCACAGAG